GCCCCTGTCCAACTCAATTTTTGACTTTACAGTTTAAGTCACTCTCGTCTCTCAACTAATCTCTAATTATTTTCATAACGTCAAAACAGACACTAGTATTAGTCGTCCCTCAGCCTCCAATTTGTCAAATTAAAGATTACCAATGACAAGAATTTGAGATGTTACCTCTCCTCCGTTCACCTTATCCATATTCTAGCTCTAGGCAAATTTAAGACTCTTTGCTTAGTCTCTTTGCCCCAAATTAAACAATTAAATTTAATTTATATATGTAATTATTAATTTCAAACATAATTAAATTCGTATTCGATAATACCGATTGGGATACCGAAGTACCGATTGGGATACCGAAATATTTAGGGATTGGGATACCGAAATTATTTAGGGATTGTGATTGGGATTGATTTTAGGATGCAATTCAATATTCGAGATTTCGATATTTGATATTGGGATATCGATACCTTACCGATTTCCACCCCTGCCAGCAGCTTACTGTTGAAAACCCCTTGAATGCCATAAAAAGCTCAGCAAAGTGCAGACCACGAATCGCTTAGTTTACCATCAAAGATCTTGCGTATTTCCTTGGTGTTTAGGTTGTTCGGTCGACTCGTGGTATTTGCCATAAACCAACAAAAGCGTGCCGTGGATAGGGTTATACGTATAATATGCCCCTCTACTATGACGTTTTATCAAACATGCCCCTCTACTATTTTTTACATCAAACATGCCCCTGTACTTTGTAAAAATGATCAAACATGCTCTTTTGTTAAAATTTTCATCCAAAAATCGTTGACCAAGGCCGAATTTAGTTTGGACGACACAAATGACTAAAATATCCCTGAAAATTTCACTATAGAATTTTTTTGGTTCTGTTGTATAATCAAATCATTCAAAGAATTTCACTTTGAAAAGACCGAAATAAATAAAACTGGGGACAAAACTGACATTTTTTCTCCCATTTGCCGATGTCGGGTCGTCTAAATATCGGTTCAATCATGATTGACAATTTTTTCAATAGAAATTTTAACAGAAGGGCATGTTTGATAATTTTTTCAAAGTACAGGAGCATGTTTGATGTAAAAAATAGTAGAGTGGCATGTTTGATAAAACGTCATAGTAGAGGGACATATTATACCTATAGCTTTTTTTATTTAGGTCTTGGTTAAGAAGCAGTCATTTTTGCTCATTTATTTGCTTAGTCTGAGTACCGCTCTATGGCCAGTACAGTCGTAGTTTGTTGTGGCGTCCTTGGTTGCTCACTGATCTTGGTGTTCCTCAGTAGAGTAATCAAGGTGCAATAATCCACATTGCTACTTATTCAGTGTTTCAAGAGTGGATCAACCATGCAAATGAACTATCATTTCGTGTGCGAACACGTTGTCTCTGCTGCATCATTCATCACAAGATTCCCGCCAAGCATACATGTGGAAATGGACTGTCATTTGTCATTTCGTATGTAAATGTACCGTCTCTACTAATTCAGTGTATCCATGCTTTCACTTGAGCAGGCATTGTTGGGATGGTTTATTTGCATTGTTTGGGAATAAATTGTAATTAACCGAACCTTTGTTGATTTCCTGCTGCATTGTGTAGAGCTTGCTAGAGATGCACCTTATTATACATAGGTTTCCCAGGGTTGCCGATCTACACTTATCAATAACAAGAAAGCCAAAAGCTCATTTGCAAGATTTTCATAGACTAGTCCTGATCGCATCGATCATGGAAACAATGTAGCAAGTTTACACATGTATGAAATACCATGTGCTTAACTAATGAAGATAGACTGTGGAATTAGATTTTCAGTTGTAACTTTTCATGAGTGATGAACATTTTAGTCTTAATGGTTATAACCAAAGTTGTCAAACCGATTTAAGTCGTTGAGCCAGTCAAGCAAGTGGTTTGAAGTTTAATGGTTTGATTGAGTTCCAACTTATTTGAGCCGTTTTAAATTACACATTTTCTAAATATATGTACAAACTTATATATATTAAAAACTCAAATAGTCAAATTCCATTAAAAAAAAAAAGTCTATCTCAAGATCCACCCACCATCCCCTTGCCTCTCCCCCCCTCCCCCTTCCTCTCTCTTCTTCTCCCTCTCTAACGATCAGACTCTTGATTTTGTAGAGCCCATTTTGGAGCACGACTTTGGTCAGACCTAGTCCAACCAGTCGTCCGGTAGAGGTGTCACAATCTTGGTTATAACACTTTTGAATAATCATTCATAACTTGTCTATTTAATGATGTAGTCACTTATTGTCTATAGTTGAAAAGAAATTGACATAACAAAAAAAGAGTTCGTCTGAAAAAGCATAGCACAAATAAGAAACTCATAATGATAACCTTTAGTAAATATTTATTTCTTTTGCTTGAGAAACAATACATATATAGCAATATCTAAACCTTAAATTTTTTTGTACAATACAATAACAAAATTAGTAAGAAAATAACATTTTTCATCCATACTCTATGCAATGAAAAAATTATTTATCAACCAAAATACTCTAAATTTAGTTGAAGGACAATCTTATTCACTCAACACAAAAAATTAAACATATATTGTGGTGCCTACCTTGCTAATGCACATGACCCCATCAACACGTCCATGAAAACTCCAGCCCGACTTTCATGATTTGTCTTGTACTGCGTTATTTCATATTAAACTAAGTAACTATGAATGATACATCTAGTCAATTACCCTATTGAAATCATCTATAAAATTGGTATTCATAAATTGTGTTTTTTTAAACTCAATCATTTTTCCAATCATGCCATATTATCAAGAGAATTAGGATTTAACGATTAACCAAACTAAGACTTTCAAAAAGCTGGTCACTTACAGTTTGCATAACAATAACGTTGCTTTAGTAGTTCTAAAAATCAATACCAATTTAAGAATTCTACACATTCAATACTGCAATTCAATATGCAATATTCGAATCAATGATATTTGGGTTGCAATTTTAAAATTATTTTCCATTTATAAGAGGGCATACATTAATTTTACTATTAAACTCAAATTAAAATAATCAAAATATGAAAATTAAAATGTCAAATAACAAAGAAAATACTTTCGGGAGAGTTAGTGAGCTAACTAACAATAGTGGAAAAGTCATATAATTTTTAAATTTTAGATTTTTAGATTTTGTATTTAAATTAAATATTATAAGGGTTAATATTATTTTTTACCCTCTACATTTGCAAAGTAACAAACGTATCTGTAACATCCCGTTCCGGCAAAACCCATATTTCGATCGCTAGAAAGTTCGCGATTTAAAATCGAGCATTTCGGCACTATTTCGACAAAAATCGGATTAGGAATCGATCGGATAAGTATACGTATTAATTATATATATATATATATATATATATATATATATATATATATATATATATATATATATATATATCATTAAAGCGACCGGGCCATATATATAACCTCCCGTCCATTTTATTTCCATCATCATCGTTTCATTCTTTCTTTTCCAAGAACCGAGAGATAGTTTGAGAAACAGGGCGCGCAGGGGAGAGAGCAGGAAATTCTCCGAGCTCGATTCTTGAGCTTTAGCAATCCAAAAATCCCGTAGGTAATGCCTAATTCATCTATTCATCGTGATTTATCGATTTAGAGCTTTAAAACGAGTTTTTGGTTCAGGAATTTCTCGAATTCCCGATAAGCCAAATTAGGGTTTCGGAGTATCCGGAAGCCGGATTGAGCCCAAATTTCATATACGAGCTTCCTGCAGCGAGGTAATCAATCCTCTAGTTCTAATCCCTGAATTTCGGCTATTATTTAGGTCGGGGTCCAAACCGCTGAATTTAGCTCCGGCCAGGGTTTGATGTGTTTTTATCAGAGAATTTGACCCGGAGCCTAGAACTAATATTGACGGGGATACTGCAGGGGATATTAGGACGGTCTCGGATTTTAATTCGGGGTTCGTTCGTGAAATTGACGTTTTAGTACGGGAGGCTAGAACCGGTGTTTGAACGACCAGAACTGGTGAGGGATTAGCACGGCATACCGGGTTTGTCGTATCACGATAATTATATTGATGCTTAGAATTGACCTAGGTGAACTAGAATGGCATGATTAGGGGTGTATGGACTTTTGTGCTATATGATGAACCCTGGACTGCTATATGATATTATTGACTTGCCCTAATCGATATGGACCTGGCTTATGCTGATGATTGTGTATATGTTGCAAATTGTGGGCTTGACTGTTGATATGCCTTATGATGGTTCGAAAAGGTGATAGGGTATGATTGTTCATGATTGTTGTATTTGGATGTACATGTGGGAAAATATATATTCTCTGGTGATATTATGATGTTTAAGGAGGATGACTTGCACGAGGGTTTATCCCGAGGAAGTGCAATTATACGACTCCTGATTTACCTATGTTGAGCCAATTGTGGCCGGGTCAAGTAACATGTGTAAGTAACGAATTATGATTAAGCAAGATGAGATATGGATCATGTATAAGGACATCAAGTAAGAGTGATTTGGTCTCATGGTCAATTACATAGTAATTAGGGCTCCCCATGCTATTACTCCGTTATGATATGTTATGTCACACCCCTGATGTGGTGTTGACCGTTGATTCATCATGAGATATGACCACACCCAGAGTGGTGTTGAGTCCGATATGACCACACCCATAGTGGTGTCAGGTCCGATATGACTACACCGGCAGTGGTGGGTCCGATATGACCACATCCACGAGATGTTTGGTCCGTATTCCCGGGAGAGTAATTAGCATGGGAGTAGCCAGGCGCCTATAAGTAAAACATGATAAGATGCATATGCATGAGTCAAGGTGGTTGAGTCTTTTGCCTATTGGGATGTCGGATGGCTGAGGTCTGATCCTAGTGCTTTGGCTTATTTGCTAGATGTATGGTAGGGGTATGCTCTGTTATGAACTCACGATGCTATGATTATCTCACTCAGCTATGAGCTGACCCTCTTTATCCTTTTTCTCTGCTTATGCCTATGTGTAAGCAGATCATCAACAGCAGCAGTAGATAGGTGTATAGGTGGGAGTTGAGCAAGAGTTGAAGGCAAGATGAGGTATGGTCTTCAACTATTCTGTGCTTGGACTACTACTCGGGATTTTGGCCAGTGATCCACACCTTTTTGTAAAAATGTTTTGAGAACGTTTTTCATGTGCATACTAGCTTCTGATGTAGTGTGAGATATCCACAGGTGTGGAAAGTTGATAATATGTGTATATGTTGTGTAACTGTGTAAGTTGCGACGATTATGGTATGTACAAGTATGGAATGCAGTTGTGGAGTATGAAAAGGGTAGCTATGGCTATGAAAGCCAATGCATATGGAAGTGAGTGTATATGTTTGTCTATGAATGCATGGATTTAGATGAATTATTTTGCAGGATCAGATGGAAGAACTGTTAGCCCATTACGCGAGTAATTCATGTCGAAATTTTATTTGGGTAAATTTTGATAATTAATGTAACACCCGAGATTTATTCCGCTGCAATTGTATGAACAATATGATTAGGCAAAACGTATAGGGTAGGGTGTTACAGTTTGGTATCAGAGCCCGGTTCCCTCTTTTTGCTGTTATGGCGTACTATACCCTATGGGAGGTTAAACACTCCTAAGGAGGGGAGTACCCCATAATGACTTAAACTGGGAATTGAGTTTGACATGATTATGTGTATTGGTATGTTGGATGAAATTACCTACATCATGGTTTTCAAAATTGAGTTTTGAATTTATTTGTTTTCAAGTAATTATTTTGGGAAAATTTTGTTTTAACCAAGTGAGAGATTTGGTGAAGAATGAATTTTGTGTGGATCAATCTAAGGCCAATATTTCCTTGTAGCTCGCACGGAAGTTGTCATAATGTTCCTACTGACCAGTCGAGAGGAGTGGGGGCGGTTGATGCAAGACCGCCAGTATTAGATTATGCAAAGATGAAGAGTTTGGGTGGTAGGGACTTTAAAGGAGATGTGAGTCCGGATGCTGTGGTAGAGTGGTTGAGGGAGATGGAAGATGTGTTTGAGTATCTTTATGCGACCCCAGAGGAAAAAGTACAATATGTTGTTTTTCTCCTAAAGGGGTACGCGAGGAGCTGGTGGTCCTCAGTCTCTAGAGTTAATGGTGAACGAGTTCAGTTCACCTGGGAGGAGTTCCTGAAGGCCTTTAAGACAGAGTTTCTTCCTGAAGCTTTTATCAGGGCAAAGAACAATGAATTCGCCAACCTTAAGCAGGAGAATATGACAGTTACTGAGTACACCATCAAGTTTGTTCGACTACTCTACTTTGAAGATGGGTTGGCGGATACTGAGCATAAGAAGAAGATGAGATACTTGCATGGTCTGCGCCTAGGATTGAAAGAAAAGATCCACAGGGTTGATGAAGAGAGCATGGCCACTATCAAGGAGGCAGCACTTAAGTATGAAGCCTATGAAGTTGAGGGTAGAGAGGAAAACAAGGCCAAAGAAGAGGAGAAGAAGAGGAAGTTTGGAGTAAATTATGTTGGACCTCGTTACCCACCCAGGAGAGGTCCTAGCAGTTTTGGGAGAACACCGAGTCAATCTATGTCGGGAACATCATACAAGGCACCAGTTTCCTCTGCCACACAAGCTCCAGTTTGTCAAGTTTGTCAGAAGAGACACTTTGGGGAGTGTTGGAGGTTTTCTGGAGTATGCTTTTCAATGTGGCCAGCCGGGTCACATCATGAGGAACTGTCCTTATAGGGGAGGAGGAAGACCTACTCAGTCCTGAACCTTCAGTGCACTTTAGTAGAGCCCCAGCCTAGAGGTGGTTACCAGGGAGGCCGTAGTGGATTTCAGAGTGGTCGTGGTGGTTCACAGGGTGGTAGAGGTGGTGATCGAAATCAGCCATCAGGAAGTGGTACGCAGGGTACCAGAGCACAGGGAGCACCGAGGGTTTATGCAATGACTCGAGGTGAGGCAGAAGTGGCACCAGAAGTTGTGACTGGTATGCTTTCTATCCTTGGCAAGCAATTATATGCTTTGATCGATACTGGTTCCTCTCACTCATTCATGTCATATACGTTTGCACATATGCTACGCTTAGTTCCAGATAAGCTAGGTTATACCTTATGTGTTAAAACACCTGTGGGAGATACCTTGAAGGTAGACTCAGTTATTAGAAGTTCCTTCATTTGTGTGGAAGGAGCTTTCCTAGCAGCAGATTTAATTCTGCTACCTTTTGATGAATTTGATGTCATCCTTGGATGGACTTTCTGGCAACACATGGAGCTGTTGTGGATTGTCAAAAGAAAGAAGTGTTATTCAACACACCAGATAAAGGTCCTGTTGTATTCCGAGGCATTAAGAAAAAGGAGAATCATGGTTTTCTTTCTGCCTTGGAAGCTTTTCGATTAATGAAGGAAGGTTGTGAAGCCTTTCTTGCTCAAGTTACTGTTGTAAATGATAAGAAGGTTGAGGATGTAGAGGTGGTAAGGGAGTTTCCTGATGTATTCCCCGAAGAACTTCCCGGCCTTCCACCAGAAAGGGAAGTAGAGTTTGATATTGAATTGGTACCTGGCACAACACCAATTTCAATGGCACCATATAGAATGGCACCAATTGAGCTGAAGGAGCTTAAAGAACAATTGCAAGAATTGCTAGACAAGGGGTTTATTCGACCTAGCATCTCACCTTGGGGTGCACCGGTTTTGTTTGTCAAGAAGAAAGATGGCTCCATGAGAATGTGCATTGACTACCGGAGGTTGAATAAAGCAACAGTGAAGAATCGTTATCCCCTTCCAAGAATAGACGACTTGTTTGATCAATTGCAGGGTGCATCAGTCTTTTCTAAGATTGATTTGAGGTCCGGGTACCATCAACTGAAAGTGGCAGATGGAGCGACCTCAAAGACAGCATTTAGAACAAGATATGGGCATTATGAGTTCCTGGTAATGCCTTTTGGGACTCACTAATGCACCAGCAGTATTTATGGCTCTTATGAACAGAGTTTTTCATGAATATCTTGATAAGTTTGTGATTGTGTTCATAGACGATATTCTCATCTATTCTAAAAGCGAAGAGGAGCACAAAACTCACCTTAGAATTGTGTTGCAAATTCTAAGAGAGAAACAATTATATGCAAAATTCTCCAAATGTGAGTTTTGGCTGAAGGAGGTAATATTTCTGGGACATGTAATTTCTGGAAGAGGAGTGGAGGTGGATCCAAAAAAGGTGGAAGTAGTGGTAAGTTGGGCTCCACCAAAAGATGTGTCTGAGTTGAGAAGTTTTCTTGGCATGGCGGGTTACTATCGGCGGTTTGTAGAAGGATTTTCCAAAATTGCTGCACCATTGACTAAACTGTTGAGGAAGAATACCAAGTATGTTTGGGATGAATCATGTCAAAAGAGTTTTGATGAACTAAAGAATAGATTGACCACAGCACCAGTACTTGCACTACCTTCGAATCAGGGAGAGTTTGTGGTGTATAGTGATGCCTCGTATCAAGGATTGGGCTGTGTGTTAATGCAAGATGGAAGAGTTATTGCATATGCCTCTAGGCAATTGCGTCCTCATGAAGTAAATTATCCCACTCATGATTTGGAGTTGGCAGCGGTGGTATTTGCTCTCAAGATATGGCGACATTATTTATACTGGTGAGACTTTTAAAATCCTCACTGATCATAAAAGCCTGAAGTATATTATGGATCAGAAGGATTTAAATAGTCGCCAGAGGAGATGGATTGAACTTCTAAAAGATTATGATTGTACCATTGATTACCATCCAGGTAAAGCTAATGTAGTTGCTGATGCTCTGAGCAGAAAAGGCAAGAAGAATATAACGGATCTGGTTGATTTGAGGGCAATGAATGTTGATTTGGAAGTGGATGGTGTAACAGGGTTACTAGCTCGGTTGAATATCCGACCTTTGTTGCATGACAAAATTCGTGAGAAGCAGAAGGAGGACCCAGAGTTGGTAAAAATCATTCAAGACATTGAGGAAGGAAAGGAAAGCCCATTTGAAATAGGTAGATGGCATGTTGAAGATGAATGGAAGAGCATGTGTTCCTAATGTTGATAACTTGAGGAAAGAGATCCTAGATGAAGCTCATTCTTCTGCTTATGCTATGCACCCAGGAGCAACTAAAATGTATCACACAATCAAACCATATTTTTGGTGGCGTGGGATGAAAAAGGAAGCGGCTGAACATGTTTTCACATGTCTGGTATGTCAGAAAGTTAAGGCAGAACATCAAGCTCCTGTAGGGAAACTACAACCCCTTCCAATTCCAGAATGGAAGTGGGAAAGAATCACAATGGATTTTGTATATGGTCTCCCATCATCAAGGGGAAAAGATGCAGTATGGGTTATTGTGGACCGACTGACCAAATCGGCTCACTTTTTACCCATTAGATGGAAACCATCACTGGAGACTTTGTCTCAACTATATATTAAGGAGATCGTCAGATTGCATGGTGTGCCAATTTCTATTGTCTCTGATCGAGACCCGAGCTTCACATCTCGGTTTTGGCAAAGTTTACATGATGCCTTGGGAACTAAACTGCATTTCACTTCAGCTTATCATCCTCAAACAGATGGGCAGAGTGAACGAACCATCCTAACTTTGGAGGAATTACTTCGATCATGTGTAATGCAATGGGAGGAATCATGGATTGACCATTTGCCCTTAATTGAGTTTGCTTACAACAACCAGTACCATAGTAGCTTGGGGGTTCCACCATATGAAGCACTTTATGGGAGGAAGTGTAGAACACCATTATGTTGGGATGTAGAAGGAGCAAGGCAAATCTCAGGGCCAGAAATAGTTCAGATCACAGTTGATAAAGTCAAGGAAATCAAGGAGCGTTTGAGGGTGGCTCAAGATCGACAGAAAGTTTATGTTGACACGAGTAGGCGTGAAGTTAATTTCGAAGTGGGTGAGAAAGTATTTCTCAAAGTGTCACCCTGGAAAGGCGTAATGAGATTTGGTAAGAAAGGGAAACTTGCACCTCGGTATATTGGACCCTATGAAATCACAGAGAAGATTGGACCAGTGGCATATAAACTAGCATTGCCTCCAGAGCTATCCCAAATCCACAATGTATTTCATGTTAGTATGCTGAAGAGGTACAAAGTGGATCCTTCCCATGTTATACAACCAGAGGAGATCGAATTGGGTCCAGATTTGACATTTGAAGAGGTTCCAGTTGAGATTGTTGATTATCAGATTAAGACTCTTCGTAGGAAGGAAATTCCAATGTTGAAAGTGGTGTGGAGAAATCAAGATAGTGAGAGTGCTACATGGGAAACTGAAGCAAGTATGCGAGAGAAGTACCCTGAGTTGGTAGCAAACTACTTTGCAGGTTAACAATCTTTCTTAATAAGTTATGTTTTGAACTTGTTGATGTGTTTTGTTGTGATAGCCCAGTGTAGGTTTTTGAAACCTTATATTGGGAACTTGAGGTGTTATGTGCTTAGTTATGTACTTCAGATCTCCTAACCTAAGAATTAGGTAGTAACAATATATGTGATAGTGTCTACCAGGAGGAGAACGAGCGGATGCGTAGTATCAGCTCAAGGTTAGATTTCGGGGACGAAATCTTTTAAGGAGGGGAGGATTGTAACATCCCGTTCCGGCAAAACCCATATTTCGATCGCTAGAAAGTTCGCGATTTAAAATCGAGCATTTCGGCACTATTTCGACAAAAATCGGATTAGGAATCGATCGGATAAGTATACGTATTAATTATATATATATATATTATATATTATATATATATATATATATATATATATATATATATCATTAAAGCGACCGGGCCATATATATAACCTCCCGTCCATTTTATTTCCATCATCATCGTTTCATTCTTTCTTTTCCAAGAACCGAGAGATAGTTTGAGAAACAGGGCGCGCAGGGGAGAGAGCAGGAAATTCTCCGAGCTCGATTCTTGAGCTTTAGCAATCCAAAAATCCCGTAGGTAATGCCTAATTCATCTATTCATCGTGATTTATCGATTTAGAGCTTTAAAACGAGTTTTTGGTTCAGGAATTTCTCGAATTCCCGATAAGCCAAATTAGGGTTTCGGAGTATCCGGAAGCCGGATTGAGCCCAAATTTCATATACGAGCTTCCT